CTTTATCCCAAGACCTAGAATCAAGTAATTAACTGGCCACACGTAAATGTTGGGAAACATTCTGAACCTCAATAACCAATTTAGGCTCACTAGTTGGACTGGACTTACTCAGGCCAAATGGAATTTGTAAACAGGTTTTTTTAAGTTAAAAGCCTTTAATACACACAAGACAGCAGTCACTAACCATATTCTAATTGTTTTTATCTTTTTAGAAGCACATTCCAAAGATGAATCTCTTAAGTCTGGATCCCGGAATAAACGTAAGCCCAAACCCAAATAGCTTCCTTGGAGACTGGGTTCACAGTGGTCATGTCCACTGAATGCATAGTTAATGCTGAGCTGTGGAGTTGGCAGCACAGCTCACATGGATGGACTCCTGTAGCAACAGCCATTAGAAAAGCCACACTGTCCAAGCCAAGAACGTTTTTTTCTTTAGAAGCATGGCAGAGGCCACAGGGAGTCAGTACATAAATTTACCTGACAGATTAAAAACAGCTTGTGCAAAGTTATGCTGGCCTCTTCAATTAATTTCCTGAGAGTTCTGTCTAAAGTGTTCATTTCCACGAAGAAAAAAACTGCTGTAGACTCAGCTCAGGTGGGAAGGACACGGGAAAGTTCATGTTTCGACTCAGTGGAGAGGATCCTGCTCCTTTGCTTAGATTTCAGCCACAGATTTGAGTTTCCTGATTTGAGGCACCCTTGTGATCTCTTTGATCTTGATAATCCTTTATCTAGGTGGGGGAGATGCTGTTAATCCCATCTCTCAGAAAACAGGACTGAGACCCAGAGTGGTTATCATTCTTCCTGATTCCACAGATCCACCTGATGTCAGAGCTGCACCTGGCTGGATTTGTCTAGACTATCTGCCCAGCCATGGCTTCCATGGCTTCCTTAGCATGTTCTCTATTGCTGGAGACTCACCAGAATCTCTTTTTTTCTTTCTTTGACAACCTCATTCATCTGCACTTTTCATGTCCCAAGTCTGTACAGACACAGAAGATGGTCTGTCCTGTAAAAGTAAGTTGTGAATGACAAATGGATGTTGTGGCTGTCACTCTGTAGGGCACCCTCCTACACTGCTTCTGGCCTGGTCATTGTTGGGGATATTGTTACATTTGTTTTATTCCATATGACTGCTGTTCCTTTGACTTTCTCTTCTAGATTTTTAGACCTTTGTCTGATCATGTATCCTCAGAAACCCACTGACCCAGAGTCCCCAGCCTTAGACAGGCCTGCCCTTGGCCATCAGCAGAGTATGAGGGATGGGTTCAACATTGCTTAGGAGTTACCTGTGCCTACTGGACAGGGTCAATTAAACTTTGTTCTTGTAGGAAAGAAAACATGAAATTCATCAGACAGTTGGGTGTGCTCATAGTCCAGCTAGTGTCCAAAGCCAAAGCTCTTACTTGTAGCTTCCAACTTCTAGGTCACAGCCCTGCTTTCCAAAATATATCTGTTGATGATACTGGCAAATCTGGGGGATTTTTAGTTTTTCATGGTTAGAGAATAATTTTTATTTATTTTCTACTTCATAGGAGTGAATGGGCATTCCCATACAAATTAGTATATCCTATCTGTGAACCTTAGAATGTGTCAAATCATATCAACTCCACCAGGCAGTTTCTAAGTGCTATCTCTACTGCTGCCCCGGTTACAATGGAATGTTTCATATCCAGAACTTTGAAAGTTGTTTGCAAGTCATGGAAACTTAATTTTACAGGAGAATTTATTAGAGGTATTTGGGGTAGCTCAGGCAATTGAAATCTTTAAAAACTAGAATGATACTAGTGACAACAAGCATCTTTGAAAGATATCTGGTATAATAATTGCTTTACCATCTTACCCCAGATTACTATGAAACAAATTCCAATCATTTCTTCCATCTTTGCCTTATTTATTTCATCTTTCACTCCCATTTCAGAGTCTAACATTGAGAGAACTTAGGGCAGGAAGCCAAGCAAGAACTGAAGCAGACGCCATGGAGGAGTGCTGCTTGCTGGCTCGCTTGTTGGCTTATGCTAGCTATGTTTCTTATATAGTCAAAGGCCACCTGCCCAGGGGATGGTGCTGCCCACAGTAGACTGGACAATGGAGTCAATTCCCCCCAGACATATGCACAGGCCATTTGCCCTGGGCAATCTCATAGTTCAGACTAACTTCTTGGGGAACTCTAGGATGTGTAAAGTTGACAGCTAAAGTTAAGAGGACAGATGTTTTGTGGGAAGTTTTTACAGTCTTTCAGACCTTGCTATACTTTCTTGGGTCTCTCAATCAATGTAGAAGGAGGAACTCTTTGTTGTCTATCCCTGGCACCAGGCTGTTGAGGTCACTTGTGTTAAGGCCAACAGATGGGCAGACAGTCAGGCTGACCTCATCTCCAGTAGAGAAGAAACGGATTGGCTGTCTTGTGGCTATGACACATAATTGAGAAAAATGGCTTAGCAGGAAGGAAGGTTTTTCGGCTCATGGTTTCAGGCCAGGGCTGGCAGGTCTATTTGGACATTTAGTGAGGCAGAGTATCATGGTGGTGGGAGCATGTGGTAGAAACTATTCACATCAAGGTGAATAGGTAGCTGGAAGTAACCAGAAGGGGCCGGGGACAAAATATACCCTTCAAAGGCTTGGCCTCATCTATCTGCTTCCTCCAGCAAGGCCTACCCTTCATACATCACCACTTCCCAGGAAATAGAGGTTGCTTCTTCTTCTTCTTCTTTTTTTTTTTTTTTTTTTTTTTTTTTTACGAGACACGGTTTCTCTGTATTGTTTTGGAGGCTGTCGGTCCAGCCCGGCCACAAACTCACAGAGATCTGCCTGCCTCTGCCTCCCGAGTGCTGGGATTAAAGGCGTGCGCCACCACCGCCCGGCTAGAGGTTGCTTCTTATTGCCTGTCACAGAAGCCAATGCAGAAGCAAGATCTGCACTGTAAAGCTGTACTTCATTCAGACAGCAAGCAACCTGAGATGGCAGCAGATTAATACCTCAGACCCATCTTCAGTCTGATCTCCGACAGTTATCTAGGGAGAAGTGGAGATGGTGGGCTGGGGGACACAGGCAATCAGCCAATCATGCTCGACTCAGTCTTGCCCCTTTGGACAGGAGGTCAGCGACTTTTTTGAGAGTTGTGATGGGTGTCTGTGCTTCTCTTGCTGTCATTCCTTGTATTTTCCCTCAATCTGTAGATGTTTAGGTTCACACACTTCTCGAAACTCTAGGTCAAGTTAGTTTCTGTTGGTATCAGCAGTGTTCTCCAGGAGCACCAGGGCTATGGAGGGTGGTTAACTTGGAACAAACCATTAGCAGTATATGCTATGCATGTGCAAATTCTTTTCTCCAATAGAGTACAAGTGTGTCTTTATAATACAGACTATGAAAGTGCCCATAGCTATCCCTCTGTGCCCTATCATTCCCCACTGTCAGCAGTGACTCTCATGTCCATAAGATCTGTATCACACGAAGGATAGCACCCTGACACATGCTTGGGTTGATTGTCAGCATAACTTCTTACCAGTAAGGGGATTCTCCAACACATGGTCTTATACATTGAAGTACACTGTATATGGCAGCAAGCAGTTAGGACTTGATATGACAATTTCTGAAGTATGTGTGTATGTGAAACAAATATCACAAAAAGAATACAAGTAGGAACCAAAGTTGGAAGGCATTAGGGTTAAGTAACCATATACAAGAACTATTTCTCTGTAATTTATAGGTCAATGGTTCTCAATCTGTGGGTCATGATCACTTTGGGATCTAATAACTTTTTCATAGAGTTCACCTAAGAGCATCAGAAAACACAGATATTGACATTGATTCATAACAGCAAAATTACAGTTACAAAATAGTAGCAAAAATAATTTTATGGTTGGGAGTCACCACAGCATGAGGAGCTGTATTAAACTGCATTAGAAAGGAAGGGTGAAAGCCACTACTCTAGGCTTTAGTTACATTGGCACAAGTGACTATTTTTGTTTTTAGCTTTGAGACAGGGTATTACTATATCGATATGATGGTTAGCTTTGAATCACCTCAGAAAAGATTGATGAGGGATTATCTACATTAGGTTGTCCTGTGGACATGTCTGTAAGGTACTGTTTTAAGTTAATCACTGTGGGAAGATGAGTCCATGGTAGGTGATACCATTCCCTAGGAAGGGAGCCCTCTGAACTGGATGAGTGGATAAATTGAGCTGAACTCAAGAAACTATGTATCATGGACTCATTTAGTTGTTCACTCCACCATGATGTGACCAGTTGCTTTAGGTTCCTGCTTGCATTTCCATGTATAATGTGACTAAGAGTTGCTTCAAGTCCCTGCCTTAATTAACTTCCCTACAGTGATGGACCATAATCTGGAATTGTGAGCTAAAACAAGCCATTTCTCCTTTAAGTTTCTTGTTGTGGAGTATTTTATCTTAAAAACAGAAATGAAACTAGGACAGAATAGGTGCTGAGAAAGTGGGGTCGTTGCCATGACAAGCATGACCATGAGGCTTTTACACATTGGACTATTTTGTGGGAGAATTTGGAACTGTAGGCTTGAAAGGTTGTTAAATGCCGGGAGCAGAGCTTAATGGGCTGTTTGAGCGGGAGTTTGAAGAATGTGGAAAGGTGGGAGATGTGTATCCTAAGCACAGACTTACCACTCAGTATGATGAGCACATGGATAGGGGCTCACAGAAAGGGCTGTGGGAACTGCAAAGACCTTGTTAAAGGAGCCAGTTAACACACTTTGGAAGACATTTGAACTAATTCTTCAGAAATCAAAATTGAACCATGTATAGATTCAAAATTCTAAATCTCTCTTCTATAAGTACCATGATGAGATGATCCACCCATGGTTAGATGCCTTGTCTGCCACTGTCATTTCACTGTGCTCTCATGCATCTGGCCATCTTGTGACACCACATATTCAAAAGGCCTTCTATTTGGCAACCAAACAAGGCCAGGGAGGATTGAACACCTCACTCAGGTTATAGTTTTATATGATAGATTCACATTGCTTTTTGCCCATCACCCCTATAACATAGGAGAGTCCTTCTTTTTGCGATTTAGTGGTTCAACAGGCTTGGAAGAATTTGGGTAGTTGATGCTTCCTTGTGTTCTGTTGCTGGGAGAAGACAGAAGGTTTAGCATGTCAAATGGTAAAGGTAAAACCACAGTGGATGGCTTCTCTGTGGACAATGATTGAAGAGTGTGCAGGTATCGAAGCTGAACAGCACCTGGGGTGCCTGACAGGATCTCAGCTGCCATCCTCAGGGACTCAGAAGCAGCCCTTTCCCCTTCTGCAGCAATCATCTATAGAGCATATATGAAGAAAAGCAACGTGATCATGTTTCTTCATTTCATGAGGGTTTTAAGTGCTCACCATCCAGTGGCAGGCACTGCTAAATGTGGGACACAGACCACTAGACTTAGTCTTTCTCTGATGGATTGTGAGGTGGAGGGAACAGATAAAACTAGCCATCAAAATTGAAGGTGGATTTGTCATGACAAGTATACATCGAGTTTAGGGGTATTGTTAATGTGTGGTAGGCTTGAAAACTTAGTAGAATTGTGCTTTCCATATGGAGGACAATTTAGTCTTAGTTCTGGGGACAGACATGGAATTATAACTTGGTATAAAAAAAAAGAATGGGTAAGCATTTCAGAAGAGAAGGTTCTTGGCCCATCTCACAGATGCTACCTAAACCGGGGCACCGATAACTAACTGGTTCAGAGACCTAGATGTCCTGTGAATACACTGTCAACTGTGCTGAAGATACAGCGGATTCCATTCAGTTCCTGGACCAATGTGGGAGAGCACAGGGGAAATGCTGTCCACCAGGAGGCTCTACTGGGCTCTCAGTTGCTCTCCAAAGGCATGGGTGGGAGGATGGAGAGCTCAGGAGAGGCTCACCCGCACTTTGGCCTGTCTTTGAGCCTCAGCTTCCACAGCCAGAGAGTGCTGAAGGCCAGCCGGCAGCCTCACGTCCTTGCTGAAAAAGAAGCAGACAGCATAGGTGTATGCCCTGATCATAGTGCCAGGGCAAAAAGAAGACAGACTGCATAGGTGTGCACCCTGACCGTAGTAGTGCCAGGGTGTCTCACAGACTTGCCCCTGCCTACTGTTGTTCCATGAATAGCAAATTCTTTTTTATTTAAAGATTTATGTGTATGGGTATTTTTCCTACATGTATGTCTGTACACCATATACATATACATGCCTGTTACCCATGAGACCAGAAGAGGGCATCTGGAGTTACAGACAGTTGTGAGCTGAGATTGAACCCAGGTCCTATGGAAGAGCAGAAATTCTCTAAAGCACTGAGCCATCTCCAGCCCTGTATAGTAAATTCTAAATGAACAGACAGAGCTGTTCCTAGAGTTCTGACATGGAAGATGAACAGAGAAGAGCACATCTGGAGTCAGTGCCCTCAGGGCAGGTTTTACCACTATGAAGGTTGAATGGGGCTAAGGCACTCTAATTTCAGGGCCTATATTTTGTGTTCACAGTTTATGGTTATCTTTCTCACTTAAGATTTCATGTAAATCTAAGTTATTAAGTTTGAATAATGAAAAACAACTTTGAAGAGCTATACAATTAAAAACAAAAATCAGAGGAATTCATTTAAGTTTATAAAAGAAAATTGATTTCATAAAAGAAAATTAGAACAAAAAACAATTCTAGTACACTGCATAAAAGACACAAAAGTAAAATTTCATCATAGCACTTTCCAAACTAGTTCCAAAGTCTTAATTAAGGAATATAAAAACAAAATTTCATGTGGTCATACAATGGAATGATTTGAGCATAAAATGGAATGAAGTACTGATGTCTGCCACACCATGGGTGAACCTTGAAAAATTATGCAAAGTGAAAGGAAGCATGCTATGATTACATTTCTGTGAAATATCCAGAACAATAGGCATATCCATAGAAAGAGAATGGGGTGATGGGGTTAGAGAGTTCTTGCTTGTAGGTTTTGGGGGCGATAGAAATGTGAATTTAGGACTAGAACCACTAAACTAATACCAAAACATGATTAAAATGCTAAGTTTCATGTAAAAAGACCCCTTAATGCATAATTAAAATCCACAAGGATGGTTTGCTTGGATATTGTAGCAATTGCATCTTGGCTATGAGATGTTAGGTCATTTTTTCTAGTATCAATGTGGCTGGGTATTTGAAATGATTTTTCAAATACTTTCTGGTTCTTTTCCTACCTACATTTCAGTTCTCTCCACTTTGATGCCCCAAGTACAGGTCACCGAATCCAAGGCAACCTGTGGAGGGAAGAGGTGAGATGCGAGTGAGACTTGCCTCCCCAGCTACTAACCCCCCCTCCTGCTTACATCAAGCAAGGCCACTGATCTGTCCTCAGAATGGGTCCTTTCAAGGAGCACTGCTTTTCAATGTCACAGTGTCTGGGGCAGAGTTGATTAACTTGCACAGAGCTATTAAATAATCACTGAATCTAAAGATGATGTAGGAACCTGAATAATGACTCTCAAAGATGCTCATGTCCCTAGGACCTGTGACTTTAGGATGTGATTAAATCAAAGGTTCTGGGAGGATATAATCACAAGTGTCTTCATCTGAGAGAGGCTTTAACTCTAGAAGAGAAGGTATTGTGATGAAGGGAGCAGGGATGGGGCTGGTGCACTGTGAAGTTGGGGTGGGGGTTGGGGGGAGAGGAGGAATGCAGGTGGAGCTAGGTTCCGAGAATGGCAAGGTATTGGATTCTATCTCATCCCCCAGAAGGACTCTGCCATGGTGATGCCTGAACATAAGCCCAGTGAAGCTGATTCTGCACTCTGGTCCTCAGGCTACAAAAGAGTCCAGTAAGCTGTGCTATTTTGAGCCACCAGGTTTGGGAATATTTGTTAACTGAGCAAATAGGGGACTAGTACAGATGAGACATTTTATTTTCAGTTTGTTTTAAAATTCCCTCGTTAAATAATAGCATCTCTGGGCTCAGACCCTGCCAAATGGCTAAAAATTTTAGGCTGCTTTCACTTCCTCAATGCTGGTAGTGTTATGTTCCCAATGCTTCGTAGTCCTCTCTGCCCTCCACCATTGAAGTTGGAAATGGGTGAGGGATAGGCCTTAGAGCCCTCCATGCTGGAACATGTTCATTTTAAACTTAGCTTAAGATCATTTCTTAGTGGATAAATACTAATCTCAGAGCATTGCAAACCCTGGGGGCCAACTAATTAGAGGGAGCAGGTGTGAGTAAGAAATGTGGAGAAAAGCATCATAGGTGAGCTGGCATTGTAAAGCACAAATAAGGTCTGTCCTGTGGACGGGAGGCGGGAATTCCAGGCAAAGGAAATAGCTCAGGAGGCATCGTGAGGAAGAGAAGATGCCTGATGGCTGAAGGCTAAGCAGGTGGGGTGGTAGACTGCAGAAAGGGAGGGAGGGAGGAGGCTCCACAGTTGGGCCACTTCTTTATTCATCCCAATACACTGCACTGTGCCAAGTCCACCGCCTTCATCATCTGGAGAGACAGGCATGTGAATACCGAAGTTAAAACTCACTGCAACAAAACTGAGCTTGGATACCAGCAGCCTGACACTTCTCCTTCAGAGGAGAGGGGTGCACAAGGAAGGGACTGAAGGGGACAGTGGGGAGCATGCAGAGGGACCCAAACATCAGCTCCTGCATGTCACTCATCTTTCCCTCCTTCCAGCATCTCCGTATTTTCCAGCTCCTTCACTTCCCCTCAGGATATGAACACTAGTCACTGGTGTTCCTGGACAAGTCACAGACATTTGGACACTGCGTGTTTTCAGGTTCTATAAGCAGTCACTGCCAGTCTTTGGTTCTTGTGTTTCCTGTTTCACATCTTTCTTCCTATCAGTCTCCCAATCCAGTTTTGGTATCCCTGTGACTTCAGTACTGGGCTGAGTCCCTGGTGAGAAATGCCACCTGACTGGCCAGCTGCCTGCAGCCTTGCTTTGTTCTCTGTTTTAATATCTCTTGCCACCATGTCTTGGTAATGGAGATGTCTACCCTGACTGTGCATGAGACCATAGAGCTGGCTGCCTGTGGACTCAGTAAAACTGCTTAGAAGGGACCTTTCTTTTTCATTTTGGTGTGTGTGTGTGTGTGTGTGTGTGTGTGTGTGTGCCCATGTTTGTGACTACAAAAGTCCTAGGTCAACATTGAATGTCTCTCTCTATTTTATTTCCTTTATTTGCATCTCCACTTTATTTCCTGAGATAGGGTCTCTCACTGGACTGGAAGCCCATTACTTGGCTAGACTAGTTGGCTTCCCAACCCCCACCCCAGCTCTGCCTTATGCCAGGCCACTCGCATTGCCACACCCAGCTTTTTACGTGGTCTCTGGAGATCTAGACTCAGGACTCACGCTTGCACAGCAAGCGCTTTACCCACCGAGCCGTTTCTCCAGTGGCAGTTTTTACTTCTGTTCTCCCCTCTAATTCCAAATCAATTAAGTCTGAATAAATTGGCAATTCATCATGAAAGGGTGTGTGGTATCTGGACTCTGAAAGTCTTACTTGAATTTACTATTAATTACCTTTGGGCACACTGTGTTTATCTCAGTGTCTGGGCACCATGCCTCCTCATCTTAATACACTGTCATTAACATCCTGCCCATCCCCAGCACTCATGCCCTCCTGCCTATGGCTGCTTCCAACACTCTGTACTATGCTGGTATTTCACAGTGTGCTTAAGGTCACTGGGGAGTGACCTTGGGGAGGGAGGGAAAAATCTGTACCCCAGCTTAATGATGTCATTGACTGTCTGCTCCCCAAGGGATGGCATCTTAAATGACCAAAATGCATTGCATGTGGCAAATTTAACAAATGACCAATTCTTCATTAAACTCATCTTGGTACCTTTAGGTCTTGGGCAATGCTCTTCCTTTCTAGGAGAATTTCAGTGAGGGACCGATGTGCCAAGAGGCGCTTTGTGGTGGTTTGCACCAGGAACTGGACGGCTTTGGACACATGAGCAAGACTGCTCAGCAGAAGAGAGGCGTTTTCCATGCGGTAGTAACAGATGGCATCTATCTCCATTATAAACATATCTTTGGTTACCACCTAAGGAGAAGAAAAGTTTGAAGGCCGGCTAGATTCCTGGACTCCTTCCTATGTGGGAGAGGGGAACTAAATGCATTTAAAGTACATTTTCCAGGAGTAAGACCACAGAAGGGAAAAGCAAAAGAGTAATGGGAGGTTGATTCTTTATTCAACATGGACATACATAGACATACATATTTTTAATGCATGAAGGTTTTATCAAGCACATTAAAGAGTCAGTAATACTTGCCTGTGGGAGGAAGAAAAAGATGCGGTGGGGTGGGGGGTGGAGCATGAGCACAATCCAGGCTCAGAAGAAAGACTTGAAAGAACTCATAATTTTGCCAGGTGGTGGTGGCACACGCCTTTAATCCCAGCACTCGGGAGGCAGAGGCAGGCAGATCTCTGTGAGTTTCAGGCCAACCTGGTCTACAGAGCGAGTGCCAGGACAGGCTCCAAAGCTACACAGAGAAACTCTGTCTCAAAAAACAAAAACAAAAACAAATCCTCATAATTTAAAGAAATCGTGTAGAGATCCCTTTATTAAAAAAAAACAAGAATAATTTTCTTGTATGAAAAAACTCAATTGATTTTATGTCAAGGCCTTCCTAAACTGATGCCCAATGGGTCTCCTGGAACATAAGGTCTTTCACATTGGAATGACATTAGAGGGCAAGCTGGGAATTTCCATCAAAAGCCCCATCTTCTCTGATAGTTTCTATGTGAATTTGACACAAGCTAAGGTCATCTGGGAAGAAGGAATCTTAATGGAGAAAATGCCTCCATAGGACTGTCCTGTAGGCAAGCCTGTGATTCATTTTCTTGAGAGATGATAGGAGGACTCAGCCCATTGTGGGTGGTGCCAACCCTGGGAAGGTTGTCCTGGGCTGTATTAGAAAACAGAACAAGCTGGGAGGAACAAGCCAGTAATCTGCATTCCTCCATGGCCTCTGCTCTAGTTCCTGCCTCCAAGTTCCTGCCCTGAATTCCCACCATGACTTCCCTCAGCTATACCCTTTTCCTTCCCAAATTGCTTTTGGTTATGGTGTTTATCATAGCAATAAAAACCACAACCAAGACTCCATATGTAGACATTTACCATAGGGGGATGTATTTAAGGAATTAACTATAAGAATTGCCGTTCACAGCCGGGTGGTGGTGGCGGCGCACGTCTTTATCTCTGTGAGTTCGAGGCTGGGCTCGACCGACAGCCTCCAAAACAATACAGAGAAACCCTGTCTCATAAAAACCAAAAATAAAAAAATAAAAAAATAAAAAAATAAAAAAAGAATTTCTGTTCACAGTACTGCTTACTGGAATTGCCAATATGTAACTGGTTGAATAAACTGTGGTATATTCATAATAATAAAACCCTGAGACAACTTTTCCCCCTTCTGTTATATATTCCTGTATTTTGATTGTGAGCCATCTCTCCAACCTCTGATTTTACATACATACATACAATAGAACCAATAGTGTGTATGAGTGCTTGTAGAGCTAGATCATTTTTAAAGGATTAGCTCACGTGATTATGAAAACTGGTAAGGCCAAAAGTTTTCCTGGAGACCCAGGAAAGTATATTGCCTACTAGAAGAAAACTTACTTCTCTTCAAGTCAAGGTCAGTTCTTTAAAACCTTCAGCTGATTGAATGAAGCTTACCCACATGATCAAGGGTAAACTACTTTATTAAAAGTCTACTGATATAAATACTAATCTAATCTACCAAATACATGCACAATAACATCCAGATTTGTTTAACTAAATATAGGACCAATAACTGAGGCCTAGCCTACTTGACATATAAGATAACTATTATAAATTCCTTTGTCTTTTGTTTGTTTGTTTTTTGTTTTTTGAAGCAGGGTTTCTCTGTGGCTTTGGAGGCTGTCCTGGAACTAGCTCTTGTAGACCAGGCTGGTCTCGAAATCACAGAGATCTGTTTGCCTCTGCCTCCCGAGTGTTAGGATTAAAGGCATATGCCACCACCGCCCAGCTCCTTCTTCTATTTTTTAAAGTTACATTGTGGCTTTTGTGGATCTGCGTGAACTCTTTCTATATCCTATATATTAAACTCTTACAAATGATTTGAAAATACATTTTCCCATTATATAGGCTATCACTCAGTTGGTTGTATAATTTGATAATGATGCTTTCCATTCTAATTTAGTCCGCATCTCTGATTTTCCTTCCTACTTTTGAGCATAGTTACTTTGCTTTGGGACTGAGTAGGACAGTAGAACATAGAAATGTCAAGAGAAAGCAATCATAGTGAGCATCTCACCTCATGGAAAGGTATCTCCAAGGTCTGGAGACGGAGATCAACCTTGTGGTAGGTGTCCAGGCATGGCAAAAAAAAGAACAGGCCTACAAGAAAGCATGAGGAAAGTAACAGGTGAACAGCAAGTGTGAAGACTGCTGGGGATTGTCTACTCAGGGACAGGCTGCTTGGCTCTTCTTAGTCTCCATTACCCAGTGACCATTGGTTAGCTTCGTTGTAACTAAAGTATTGTCACATAATTCATTATTTAACTGTGGGCACTTCTGAAGATAAAGGGGGGTACATTATTAAACTTAAGTTTAGTATATCAGGTATAATAGAGATTATTTAAGAGAGTAAGATCACTTGGTCACTTGAGGCATCATATTGACCCTTGCAGATCTCTTACATATCTGTCTCTACACTAGACTCAAGCTCTGTAAGTACAGTGTCATATGTTAACATTAATGTGTCTTGGAGCCTTTTAGGTACTGTGTAAAATTGTCTTCCTATGTGAATATAGTGGTGCATCAGCTAGATCTAACAACTTCTGTGTCAGATCTGAAAATGTGGGTATCAGGATCATTGGAGTAGCAATATTATGCCAGCAGATTTGTGTTGCCCATTTAGTCCTCCTTACCCCAGACAACATACAGATTCAATATGCATTATCTGTAGATTGGTTAATTGAAAGTTTCCTAAAGCTGCTTGGATGATTTGAGACAATGATGTTTTGGAAAAGAATGGTCTCCTTAGGCTCATATATTTGAATGCTTAGTCACCAGGGAATGGCACTATCTGAAAGGATTAGAAGGATTAGGAGGTGTGGTCTTCTTGGAGGAAGTGTGTCACTGGAGGTGGACTTTGACATTATGAAACAATGGAAGGGTTCAGTCTGTACCTCTTCTACCAACTAAAGACATATTTGTTACTAGATGCTGAATTTTGTTTGGTTTCCATGACCCATCTGCCTCCATCCCCAATTCTGAACTAGCTCAGATTTTCTCTGAGAAGTCACAGGATTATGACTGTACACACACTGTACTCAGACCAATCATTAGTTATAGGTCTGTAGTCACCTTGCTGATCCAATGAGACTAGCCCTGGTATGGGGTTCCCTGCACTTGTCCTCTCTTCAGGTGTGACCTATCAGTAATGCTCTTCAGAGAATTTTGTGACAATCTGCCCTCTGATGAACAGATTGGAAATGCAGATATAGTGACTCAAATAATTTAATGTAATCTAAGACACTAATGGTAGCTATTAATGGATTAAAGAAGTCATCAATGAGGTGGGATAAGAATTTTAAAATCTTGGAGGGTAATTCTTACCAGGGCCTTTGGCTCTTCCAGGGAGCAGATGTCCCAGTCGGAATATAATTACTCTTTCATACTCTTGTACAACCTAAAGGAAAAGGTAATACTTTAAAGTGACTTCAAATGAAAAAAAAAGGATTCAAAAGACTTTTACATGGGAGGAATTTTAGGTTACAGAAATATTGTGTTAGTCAGGAGCGGAATCACACGTGGAAGGAAGAGGCAGGCAAATCTCTGTGGGTTTAAAGCTAGCCTGACCTATGTAGTTCCAAGACATCTGGGTCTACATGGTGAGATACTGTCTCAAACAAAATCTTTTGTTTTGAGAACTAAGAACAATGCCAGGCATGGTGGGTCAACCTAATATCTCATTACTTGGGGGAGGCAGAGGCAGGAGAATCATTCTGTGTGGTCCACATAGCATGTTCCAGGACATCCAATGTTACATAGACCTTGTCTCAAAAGGTGGGGGGTGGGTGGGATAGGAACTGGAGAGACTGCACAATTGGTAAAGCACTTTCTGCATAAGTGCAGTAAGGATGTACATTTGAATCCCTAGGACCCATGTAGAGCTGGACTAATGGTAGTGCATGTGTATAACCCACATGCTCCTCCAGTGAGACTGCAGGCAGAGGCAGATAAAGCCCAAGAAGCCTGTGGGCCAGCTAGCCTGGTGTGCACAACCAAACATCAAAAGAGACCTGTCTCAAACAGAATGAAATGTGAGAACATCTGAGTTTGTCCTCTGCCCTCCACCTGTACATTGAGGCACGTGGTCCCCCATCTCACACACACACACACACACACACACACACACACACACACACACACACTGGATTTCTATTAACACTGAATGTTCTAAAATCTATACACAGTAAGTGTAGACATCAATGAATAAGGACATTGACTATGTTAATGAAATGACTATGATATGGAATAATTGTATGCCAAGAAATTAGCTGAGACATAAAATACCCAAACTAACTCAAGAAGATGAAAAACTGAAAACATACAAATACTAAATTATTTTAAACTTCCTACAATGTAGAAATCCTTGTACACTGCTTCCAGGAATGTAAATTGGTCCACTCATTATGGAAAACAGTATGAGTATTCCTCAATAAAATTATCACCAGCAACTCTACACCAGAGAATATATACAAAGGAGTCAGTAGTTTTTTTTGAGGCAGGGTCTCACTATGTAGTCCTGGCTTGTCTGGAACTTGCTATATAGACCAGAGTGGCTTTGAACTCACAGAGATCCTCCTGCCCTGAGAGCTGGGATGGAAGTCAGTGTCTGGAAGAGATTCGCAGTTACACATTCATTCATTGCAGTATTATCACAACAGTCAAGATAATGAATCAACCTGCTCATCAACAGACGGATTTTAAACACACACACACACACACACACACACACACACACACACACACGAGTGGGGGCACACAGGGAGGTGTTAATTACCTCTAGAGTAAAACGAGAGGCCATTTTGTTATGTGAAATGAGCCAGGCAAAGACAAACATTTCACATTTTCATTTTTATGTGGGAGCAAAGAGCATATGATGGTTGTCATATGGGGATGAGGGAGATTGGAGATGCTGGGCAAGGGGTAAAGGTTCCACTATGCAGGATGCAGGCATCCTGGGATCTACTGTATGGTATGGTGACTCTGCTATATTTGTATAGTGTAATATGATATTTGAAATTTACTAAGAGAGCCTGAAGTGTTTTCATCACACAAAAATCTTAACTGAAAGGGATGCCCATATTAGTGTGATTGTGGTAATATTTTCAGATATATATGCATATCAGAACATTACATTGTGGCTGGGAAAATATGTTGGCAGTACAGTGCTTTCCTAACATATCTACAGGCCTAGATTTGATTCCTGATGACTATCAAGTTTTCACAAATTCTTTAAAAAAAAGAACATTGAGGAAAATCCCAATATATTAGCTGAGGCTAATATTACTATGATCCATGAAGATGAATCACAGATACCACAAAAACCCTATACAACCATTTCTCTTATGAATATAGGTGCAAAACACCCAAACATGACAGTAGCCTAAATGTAGTAACATTTAAAAAGAATTTACATTATGACCAGCTGTGTGTGTGTGTGAGAACAAGTGTGAACGTGGAGGCCAGAGGATAATGGACAACCTTAGCTATTGTTCTTTGATCACCATCCACTTTGTTTTTTGATAGAGTCTCTCATTAGCCTGGAGCTCACCAAGCCAGGCTAGTCAGCTGATGAGCCCCAGATGTGCACAGGCCTGTGGTACATTTTCTTGATTGATGACTGAATGAGAGGGTTCAGCTCACTGTAGATGGTGCCATCCCTGGCCTGGTGGTTCTGGGTGCTGTAAGAAAGCAGGCTAAGCAAGCCATGAGGAGCAAGTCAGTAAGCAGCACCCCTCCATGGCCTCTGCATCAGTTTCTGCCTCCAGGTTCCTCACTGCCTTCAAAGATGAACTGTGATTTGGAAGCCTAAGTGAGATCAGCTCTTTTCCTTACCAACTTGCTTTTGGTCATGGTGTTTCATCATGGCAATTGCAAACCTAACTTAGATACCTTCCTAGTGCTAAGTAGAATTACAAGTGTGCACTACAGTGCCTGGTTTTTGTTTGTTTGTTTTGTTGTTGTTGTTTCTAGACAGGGTTTCTTTGTATAGCCCTGGTTGCCTTGGAACTTGCTCTGTAGACCAGGCTGGCCTTGAACTTACAGAGATCCACCTGCCTCTGCCTCCCAAGTGCTGGGATTAAAATCATGTGCCACCACCGCCTGTTTTTGTTTTGTTTTTTTTTTTTAAATGTGGGTTCTGTGGTTCAATCTCAGGTCTGCAGCAAGCACCTTACCAATTGAGCTATAACCGTAGTCCCCAAGTTGGATTTTTAACATCCTAGAGTGAACAAACATAATTCATCCTGTCAGTATAGAATAAAGACTAGATACCATATGAAAATTTAAATAGATGCAACTCCCCCTAAAATAAACACCGTGGGATACAATCCAGTGCAGTCTAGTGGGAAGAGTGGGAGAGGGGGTTAGGAAAAGCCACTGTATGCTGTGAGGAATAGGACCAACACCAGCACTAATTACATCTGTAGTGTCCAGCCACAGCCTCCAGTTGGTGAAGAAAAATGAACGTCAGGAATGCTGGGGCCTGACCCTTTCTGCTCACCATGAAGCAAACTTTGCTTTGGGGTTCCCTTTCAAGTGGGCTGTGGCTATTTGAGAGCCACACCACACACAGTCTAGCATTGCTTCTGTCCAGTTCTCCCACTTCTTTTGTCCCAAGTATCAAACTATGTCATCAAAGATGCCCCCACACTTTTTTGCTTTTTTTTTGAGACATGGTTTCTCTGTTTGATAGCTCTGGATGTCCTGAAACTTACTCTGTAGGCCTCGAACCCACAGAGATCCTCCTGCCTTCCCTACCTATTCTTGTTCTTTCTCCTCTAAATGCCTCCAGCTTCTAATTTTATCTCAGCATGTGCTTCCTGAGCTATCCAGGTCTTCAGTTACCTCTGGGATTAGTGTAAGTAAAACACTTGGGAACCAATGATAATTAATGGTCTCTTCTGGTCTGTAGAAGTTGCCTGAGACATTTCCCTGTAGTGTTAAAGTGGATGATCTGCTCTTCGTGTCATTGAGCATAGATGAACCATATGGAGCTTCTGAAGGGTCTCTCAGACTAACAGGGATATCTATCTATCTATCTATCTATCTATCTATCTATCTATCTACCTACCTACCTATCATCTACCTATATCATCCTTACACACACGCACACACACACACACACACACACATGATGTGCTAAAGTATTGTCCTAGCCATGACAGAAGGCCTATAGGTTGGTTGGGGGAATGATCTAAGAGAGACAACAGAAAATCATCTCTTGGGTTTATGTAGACACTCACCTTTATGCAGAACCAGATGGAGAAAGGGAAACTTATGATGATGAAGAGCATGGAGGAGAGGACAAGCAGCCACTCACAGACCCCTAACCCAGAGGACTTGATACCTAGGAAAATGATTATATTGAGACATCACCATAATTACTGAGCAGTATCGGTCAGTCTGGTGCTTAGCACTGAAGTCAGAAGAGTTTGGAGGCATGTCTGGAAAATTTGGTATGAGCCAGGTATCAGAATGACCATAGTTCCCATGTCTGGGGTTGTCTGTGTGATGGTTTGTGTGGGTCCATGGGACGTGGAATAAACTTCTGGACAGACAGGGGAATTGGGGGACCAGGAGGCAAGAGGGGGGATAGTTGGTTTCACTTCTGGTTCCATCATTTCATGTCCATTTTTGAGTTTTAAGCAAGGCACAGGACCTCTTTAAAGCCTAATTTCCTCCCCTATATATGGGATATGGACCAATTACTATCTGATAATAGCTAGCTTGTGAGCTATATCTGATATATTTGATGCAAGGGTAAAATGACACACACATGTAGAGATGCCAGCTCATGTCTGACATGTTTCAGGTGTCACTGTGTGAAATGTCTACAAGCTCTTGGCACTGCCTGCCTTCTTCCATTGGATTCCCTTTACTGAGTAAGGGTTCCTCTGTCTCTGGAAATCACCTATCCGGCATAATATTAGTTTGTGTTTGTAAGAAGGTTATGCTCCACATCCATGGTGCTTTGACTCAATACCAAAGACTCTCATAGACTGGACTTTCAGGGCTGGGTTGTGACAGGTGTCCCACTGTCTGGGATGGGGACCTGATTTTCTGCCTTACCCAGACCATCATGTAAGCCAACCCCCTATGTACACCTCTGTTGATTCTGTTCCTCTAGAAAGTTCTGCCCAACTCAAACAAGATATTTAATTTCTCAGAGCATCTTTCCTCGTCTGTGATGGAATGCCACTAAACAATTCAAAACCAAAACACCCAGTGTGTGCCTGCCACATAGAAAGGACCCCACAAACGGGGCCCCCTCCCTTGTCTACTTCCCTGCTGTGACCTGGCACCAACTAGCTTGCATTTATATAGTGCTGAACCAACAACTTCTCCTAAGGACCAGAGGGTTATCAGCAAAAAGTATGAGCATGGTCCCTATAGGCCAGCTGCATGAGGTTTCCACAAATAGTAGCGTTCTATGATCCAGCATGTATTGCATTGCTGGTACTTAGAAAGGTTAAATCTCCATGTAGCCAGCAGACAGCAATGTAGCATGCTGCTTCTTTTGTCAAACATCTGATATCCTTTACTTTGAGCATAATGATTTTTTTCTTACATTTGCTATGAAAAGGACTGAGTTGTGGCATCCACGGTGGAGAAAGGGACACCTTTGTTTGCGTCCTGCCCCGTGATAGGGTGGTGGTCTCTATTTAGCTTGCAAAGATTTAGCTGACATTGTGCAAGGATGCATTGGAAGGCTTATTTTATCCTCACATCTGCCCTATGAGCATACATTGTAGTCACATGGCCAGTAGCGAAGGCTGTTTCCGTGGTCACACGGCTAGCAAATGGCTAGGCTGAAATTTAAACTCAGGTCTGGCTCTTTGGCTGGGCTCCGTTGCCTTTGCATTTTAGGGGGTGGGGCGGGGGAGGCCATTCCAAAGGAAGGTTAACATACTCGGGTAAGACTGATGGGCGAGGATGAGAGAAGTGGCACACAGTTGTTGCTCAGAGCCCCCACATTGTGTCCACAGGTCCTTCCATGGCCACAAAAGCCATCGGGATGGTTCCTCTGCATGTTGACTGGGCACATCCTGAACCACTCTCTTCCAACTTCCATCCCTTGGGCGAAAGGACCAACTATTTAGCTGATGTTGCTATTTGTACTTCGTCTGATGCACTTTGGTCTCCATCACTCAGTAATTGCCTTACCTCATGCCTTTCTTTTCGCTGAAACTGGAATCTCAGATGCAGTCTATCTGGCTTTGTCACAGTGGGGCAACACACTCCACTTGTCTGATATCTCTCACCTGCCCTCTGGTCAGATCTGCCCTCCATACCTTCCTCTGGTCGCTCGCTCTCCAGCAGCGCCACCACGTCGGTGCCCTCTTCACCGGAGCCCCGAACCTCGTCCACGTCCACTACGGTGGCTGTGGCGGTGGTGGCTGTGGCGGCAGGGGCTCGGGGATCTCCAGCTGTCCCGGTCCGCCGGGCACTCCGTCGCTCCGACCCAGCATCGGGGCGCGTGCGTCCTCCGCTGCCCCTTCCGGCCTTCGCCCTCTTGTCCTCCCTAGAAGAGGACCTGTCACCTCGCCCGTGGCCCTCTCTGGAAGAGCTCCGCGCCTTGCTGTCCATTCTCAGCAAGTGCTGGCAGAGTGGCAGCCTCGGCTTTCTGAGCCGCTAGGGAGCGACCCCAGAACCCTAAGTAGGACCGTGCTGTCAGGAGGGAGGGGCGAGGGGCGGGGCCTGGGTGGCCATCCCTACACTAAACCCAACTGCTGCTTCTTCGAGGGTCTGGACAGAGATCCCCGACCCCTAAGACAGGGGACCTTGGTAGAGAGCCCCGGTGCCACCGCACCCGGTAGCTTCGAGGATCAGGTCCACGAACTACAAAGGGAAGATAGTTCTGCTTTGCTGGTTAACAGTGGTGTGAAATAGAACACTTGGTACTATGGGGCCTTTTAATTGCTGTGTTAGGAAGGTTCACTTTCCTCTCCCGGTTCCTGTTTCTTGAAGGCTGGAGTTCAAAGTGACCAAACTGTTTCCAATAGCAAGCCCAGGAGCCGTTTCACCCTTTTCTGGGGAACTTGACACTGCTATAGATTTCTTTGTATTTCACTGTTTCTGTCTGAAACAGAAGTGTGTCAATATAACGTTTAAGGCAAAGTTCACAATTCTACTCCAATAGGATTAGCCCATGTTCATAGAAATGTTCATTTATTTAGTTTTCAATATTGATTTCATACATATCTTTTTTCCTCTCAAAAACTTTACATAGAGAACTTTTTAGTAGCTGGGTGGTGGTGCCTTTAATCCTAGCACTTGGGAGGCAGAGGCAGGCGAATCTCCAAGTGGAGGTCTGCCTGGTCTATAGAGTGAGTTCCAGGACATCCAGGGCTATACAGAGAAACCCTGTCTTAAAAAACCAAAATAAAGAAACAACTCCAGTAATGAGAACCTGAAATTAGTTGACCCTGAAAGCTATTGTTTTCTTTCGTGAGTTTCAGATAGCCACAGGAATACAATAAATATTTAGTAACCAAGTAACTTGAAATTAAATAAAACTCTGACTCTGATTTTTAAAATATTTAAAAGTTATTTTGTGTATGGGTGTTTTGCCTGCATATATGTCTATGTACCTTGGGCATGTCTGGTGCCTGTGACAGAAATCATGGGCAGCTGTGAACTGCCATGTGGATGCTGGGAATTGAACCTGGGTCCTCTGAAACAGCGGCCATGCTTTTAACTACGGTGACATCTATCCATCTATCCAGCCTTTGACACTGATTCTTGCATAAGCTACTTGAGAGGGCAGATATTTCAAAGGTCTGGCTCAATGAATATTCTCTGTCTATAACAGCACACCGAGAAATTCCTAAGCTCCCTTGGATTCAGAGAGAGAAAAGCACGATGATTTCCTGTCCATGTCTAAGGCAATATAAGCACCTGCTTACGAGTTGGTTGGGGTTATGGATGATGAAAGTATCTGAAAAAAATGCATGATGGTCCCTGATGAAAGGGCCGACTTAGCATTCTGGAAGGTGGAGGAGTTGGGAAGGGCCAGCAGAGTCAGCAGTGAGTGCCGCTGAGCAGCCTCCTCTATGGTTTATAATGAGGCTGATGTTTTCCTTCAGATTCCTTTTTAATTGAAAATGCTGTGCATACCTTTGTTGAAACTATTCTGCATACTCCTTCTTTGTTGAGACTGACGTCTACAGGAACAGGGAGGGCAGCTGGGAGGGTAGCAAGATGAAAAGGGGCGGAAAGATGGTAAGATGTTATGCTTAGTTTAGTGCCTTCAAATTTGATATCCAGAGAGAAGAAGGGGTGGGCATGTATCTATACAGATTGTTTCATGGAGCTTAAACAGAACTTATTGGCATTAGCTATAAGATGTGTTAAATTTGACTTTCTCAATGTTCAGATGTCAGACTGATCAACTGAGGGAGAACAGCAGTGTCTAGGGAAGTGATGCTGATGAAAGGCCTGATCCTAGGCTTTGGGATGGGGATGACGTGGATTGAGGAAATGTTTCCAGTGAAAGATAATAGGATGATTTTCTGTATCTATATGCAAAGCCATATAAGCACCTGGCAATCTCTTGAGGTTGTGGGGTTTGATAAAGGAGTTGAGAGGAAACCAAAGGCAGTTGGTCTTTGGTTTGTTTTGAGACAAGATTTCTCTGTGTAGCCTGGCTGTCCTGAAACTCACTCTGCAGACCAGCCTGGCCTCGATCTCAGAGTTCCTTTTTGTTATAATTTAAAAAACGACTGGAAGGAGTCAGGCCATACAACAGGGCTCATGTGTAGGGTTTCTTTACTGGGGGAAGAGACTGGGAAAGGGAAGGGGCAGAGAGAGTGAGGGGGGGTGAGGAAGGGAAGGAGAGAGAGTATGAGAGAGAACAGAGGGGAGGGGAAGAGAGGGGCTGAGGGAGGGGGGTGAGAGGCCCCGCCTCTTAAAGGAGAGTGTAGTCAGGACCCTGAGCAGGCCAGAGTACTGCCTGAGTACTGGCAAGAGCATGCTTGTTTTCTACCTGGTTCCCAAGGACAGGCCAGGGCAGGTGCCTGAATGCTACCACTCCTGCCTCTGCCTCCCAAGTGCTGAGATTTAAAGGTGTGCACCACCAACTGCTCGGTACAGTTGGTCATGAATACAGTTTTTCTGGCAGACCCACCTCCTAGAAGAGGGTGTTCTAAATCACTACCGAAGCCAGCATCCTCTTTGATTCAGTGCAGGTGGGTTAGAGCTTGGGGCTCTGCATTTTGAACATGTTCCTTAGTGAGAAAAAGGCAGAATGCTTTATAATAAGCGGTGAATGGTGAAAGAAAAGGTTAAAAAAATCTAAATGTGGACTGTTATAGGAGTCTATAAGGAGATGGAAACAGAACTGTATAATGATAACCAAAGAGCAAAGTTGTGGTCCAACATGCGCTATGGGAATAGAATGAAGAAGGAGACGGGACCCCTGCCCCCACTCACCTCTAAAGAGGCTAATGCAGAGGCCTGTGCTGGAGCAGAGGTGGTTTATATATGAAAACTTACAGTTTTAATGGGACTAGAGCATCGTTGTCTTCCATGGTGGGGTAATAGTGAATTAAGATGTCTTAAAATGGATGTCAAAAGTTTGAAGTAATCGTTATGGCAACAGATTAGGTATCAATGGCCCAGACTGGGCTTTTGTGTTCAAAAGCTTGAGAGGTGGGAATACTGATTGATCTTCTAAATCACCATTCCTTCTCTGTGATCTTGAAAAGTTTCTCTAAGGCTGATATTGTAACTCACAGTGCCATGCTTGCCTAACAAGCACAAAGGCACTGGGTGCCATTGCCAACACTGTCAAAAAGCTCCCTATCATTTTCTACTTGTAGGAGCAGCTGCAATTGAAATTCACTCCCAGACTGGAAGCAGTGCTGGCACGAGACCAGGTGGAGGCAGTTAGTTACCAGACAACAAATGGGCGATTGGCCCGGTACTAGTTAAATGTGGGGCCCAAGGAATTAACTCACAAACAACTCATTTATACTGTGTGTGTGTGTGTGTGTGTGTATGTGTGTGTGTGAACAAAAACTGGCAAAACACAAACTTTGTTTTGAGAATAGAGACTTCTTACATCGTACAAAAACAAGACTTATTACCCTATTGTACTAGCTCCAGATTCTAAGTCCACAGCCTTTAAAATGAATTCCTACAAAATTGAAACATTCCATCCTGCAGGAAAGCTCTTTAAACAGGAAGGTAAACAACACATATAGCTTCAAGGAAGTCCCTGAAACTGACCAGATTCATCCGGCCCCCCTCTCTGCTAGAGTAACCCATAAAAGCTTAGAGTTCCTCCCTGATCTTACTAAGTCCAGCTGCCTGGAAAAAAGAAATCAGCGGAGCTGAATGCAAGACATTTAGACCAGCTGAGCCACTTGGAAAGGAATTGAGAGGACCATATTGAGCTGCCTACAGGCTCTGTGGTGTGTTCGAGCTTCCCAGCTTTTGTAGCTTCCCAGCTTTTGTGAGCTGTCACCCATGGAGTGGGCTTTGGTAAGGACAACTGTCTTTTCAGCCATTTCTGCTCCTGTAAGTGACCCCTTGCCCACATTCCTGTAAGAAACCCCAATAAAACTCATTGGTTTGCCAAGCTGGACTTTGGTGGTATTCGTTCTTCGGTCTGCTGTGGGCTTTGTATCTGGGGTGAGTAGATGTGTGAGTTGTATCTCCCAGGAAGTTTTGTCACACAACAATGTCAAACATGCAGGCTTTCCTCAAAGACCTTGAGAGCTCTTACCGATAGCTATTCTAGAGAAAAGAAAATACTCCAGCTGTGTGGTGGTCACCATTTGCCAATTCCAAAATTGATAATTGCATTCATTGTATGCTATCACTATTTTAATTATATGGCCTAGGAGATAAATGGCATTTTGGTTCAGGTTCGCCTTTGCATAGGGATAGTGGGACTGAATTTATCATCTAGTTACAAGTCCTAGTTGCCAAATGAATTGTTGGAATAAGCAATTTTAGGAGTGGGTGGAATTCCTACATTGACCTCACAGAGTAAGGTATTTGTGGTAGGAAACAAAGTGATATGGAAAAAAGTACATTGGAAGCAGTATTTCTGGAGATTTGCAGAAGTATCATCATAAAGGGAAAACTCCAGTGCAATGGTGCCTATGCTGTCCCAATTATAGCTCTTTCCAAATAGAAGATGCTACTCCTTAATGACACAACTTCATATGGCTAATGCTTGTTCCCCTCTCCCCTCCAAAACCCTTTTAAAAATCCAATCATATTGTTTTACTACCTGTTATGGTTAGTCCTGTTATGGTTAGTTTGTCAACTTGATAACAACCTAGAATCATGTAGGAAGATGAATGAGTGACTAGATCAGGTTGGCTTGTGGGAGACTTTCTTAATTTGGTTAATTGAGCTAGAACGACCCATCCTGAATGTGAATGCCACCATCCCCTGGGCTTGAACCCTGGACCATATAAGAAAATGAGTTGGTTACTAGACATGCATGCATTTATTCTCTCTGCACTCTTGACTGCAGATGTTACAAGTTGTATAAGGTTCCTTCTTGACTTCCACAGTGATGGCTTCTTACTTGGAACTGTGAACTAAATGAAACTCCTTCTACCTGGGTTGCT